AGCCCGAGCATGTACAGTCGGGCTAGGAACAAACATTGTCCGAGCCCCGACAGCTGTCGGTTGCGCTGGCCTCGGTGCGAGCACCGATCCCTCTCTCTAGTGCCACAAGAGTGCGCGGTCTCGGGCAGCTGTTCTCCAGGGATGGCCACCCCTCTGTATCGTTTTCCTCAGTTGCGAATCTCTCCTTCGACGGAACCGTCCATGTGTGCATTCTATACAAAAACAGAGACGCAACTTTACAGATAAGAAATTAACGTGTTACAAACTACTCGAGCTTAATTTACACACTAAAAGCTCAATATCTGTATATTATCTACTTATAAAGTAATTTCCATATTGATTTTTAAAAAACTTTATTTAATTAATTAACTGTCTTTCATTACTGTTCTTTTATTTGAGGATTGTTTTGATTTTCATATAAAAATAGATCTGTTTAAAAATATCGTCTTATATAGTAAAGTTTTTTGAAATTTGCATTTTACTTCGCCTTCAACAAGTTGGCATCTATTTGTAAAATTTTCCTTACATCTAACAAAGCAATTCATGAATGAAATTTTCAATTAAAATGTTTTTAGTAGTGAATATATCTTATTTTGCAAAGAGCGGCGAGCGGACGAAGCCTGCTAGTTGAATATACCAGATCTCTCTCTGAGTATTTGGAAACTATGAAAGATTATTAGTTAAAATCAGTAACGTTTATAGAGTAGGTGGATCGCAAAAAATATATATAGGTTGTAAGTATTCTATCGTCATGGAATCAAAAAGAGTTCTCTTTGTTTCAATGAATGTCACTAAGTCTTCTTAACTCTTTGAAAACATTAAAATCGCATGGAGAAGCTTTGTTCTGTTGGTATATCGTATCACCTTCCTGATGCAGCAATGGCACCAGATGAGTTTCAATAGTTTTCTGGAGGGAGATGTTGCAGGGCAATGTTTCCTCGACAAATGCCTAATGCGAATACGTGCTGCCAAATATGGCAACTGGCACCAGTCATGTAAGGATTTGAACCTGTCTACAATTTATATTATTCCGACTATTGTCCTCATCTTTGTCGCCATATTTATTACAACGTTTCGGTCGTTGTACACTCCATCCTTCTTCAGGTGGTTGGAATGTCGAACTGAACCCTTTATTTCGCTCACTGGGTTAGACTGTTCTAGTTCCACGTGCCATGTCAGTTATCAGTTATCTCCTGTTAATTTCCCTCTCGACGTTCTCCACTGTCTTAACAGGGTATTGAACTCACACTTTTTGGGTTCTGTCACTGGATCTAACTAACGCCTTTGTCCGCTGTACCATGTGTCCTTGGAACGTGGAACTAGAACAGTCTACCCCAGTGAGCAAAATAAAGGGTTCAGTTCAACATTCCAACCACCTGAAGAAGGCCGGAGCATACAACGGCCGAAACGTTGTAATAAATATGGCGACAAAGATGAGAACAATAATCCAAATAATGTAAATAGTGTACATAATACCTCATCTCAGAAATATAGACAGATACTGAAAGGCCGAAACATAATAAATATGGCGACAAAGATGAGGACAATAGTCCGAATAATGTATATAGTGTACATAATACGCCATACAGATATTGAACCTGTCTGTTGCAAGCGAATACATTATGGAATAATCTGGGTGATTTTCTTCCCAGATCTACGCAAACGACGAGCAAACGAATTATCTTCTTCTTCTTCTTCTTCTTCTTCTTCTTCTTCTTCTTCTTCTTCTATTTCTCTTCGTGTCGCGTTCATTCAGGACATAGGCGCTCAAGGCTCTCCATAATTTTCTGTCTTTTGTAGCCTTTAATAAATTGTGTCTTTTTGTTATGTCGCCTAAATCCTTTTCTGTTACCTATTATGCTCTCTAGGTAGGTTATGCATTGTTTTTCTGCATTTTCTAAAGCCCCCGTCCGTCCTGCTCTCAATTCAGACAAATTCGTCAGGTAAGTGGATCACTGCCTTCCCTTATCTCCTATGTCATCAATCTGCTCCGTAAAGATTGAGTTTCCAAGCCGTCTTTACTCATTATCTGTCCAAGGAATTTCAGCTGTCTTTTTCTGATGATGAGCATACATGTTCTTTCTGTTACCATTTTCTTTAAGACTTCCTCGTTGCTTACTCGCTTTGTCTATGGAATTCTCAGTATGCTTCTACAGAACCACGTTTCTGCTACCTCTAGTTTTTACTCTTCATTCTTAGTTAAATTATCAAACAATCACTAACATATACGAGGATGGATATCACATAGCAACCCAGAACTCATTCCTTTGTTTCTAACGACATTTTTGCCGTTTCTCAGCACCTCACTTAGCAGTTATAATTGTTCTTTTGCTGATCCAATGCCTTTTCGGATCTCGGTGTCGCATTTTCCATCCTCTGTTAAAATACTATATGAGGGCTCCGCGGTGCCACTTGGACATTTTGGCTTATAGAAATTGACGAAGTAGTTAAATAAAATGTAATGTTAAATATGAAAGGATTCAAGCGTCATGTTTTCATTATTTTTTGTAGAACGACTTCGTTAAAACAAGGCTTGGGAGCCTCTCAGGGTAGATGGTTACTATTAAAATGATTACGAGGAATGCGGTGTGATATGCGAAAGAGGACATACATAAATATTATTTGGATAAGGCACATAGATAAAGACTTACTCCTCGAATTGAGAATAATATTGTAGAATGTCGTAAGCTATAATTAGCTAGAAGTATTCACTACTATTTCTCGAGTAGTTTAGCCTTCACCACCAGAAGTATTCACTACTATTTCTCGAGTAGTTTAGCCTTCACGGTCAGAGGTATTCAATACATTTTTTCCAGTAGTTTGGCTTCACGGCCAGAAGTATTCACTATTATTTCTCGATTAGTTTAGCCTTCACGGTTAGAAGTATTCACTACTATTTATTGAGTAGTTTAGCCTTCACGGGCAGAAGAACTCACCACTATTTCTCGAGTAGTTTAGCCTTCACGGCCAGAAGTATTCGCTATTATTTCTCGAGTAATTTAGCCTTCACGGTCAAGAATGTCGCAACCGGATGTGACATAAGGTCGTGGCTTAAAGTGGGTCTATCGGCCACACCACACACAAATGTCCATGTCCTCTTGGCACTTACCTTTTTAGGGACGCTTCAGGCACCGAGCCATAAACCCAGCCCCCTCTTGAGGAAGAGGTAATGTCAGAACTAGTTTTAGCCAGTTATAACCGGCTGTATCAACCGTTATTTATATGGTGGAGATTTGCATATGAATGCAGCATAAAGTATCAGCTCTTAGCAATTCCAATTTTTTCTTTTGGATTTTTAGAGATGAGGATCCAATTTTTGCAGCAATAGTTTACGCATTTGTAGCCTAAATTACTGATTGTCACCGAAGGTCGTCGACAATATTTGGTCACGGAAAAGTTGGAAACAATACCTGAAAGGCTTACGTGCACTATGTAACGGAGATATAAGAAGAAGAAGTAAAAAAAAAAGAATTATGTTTTCGTCCGGAACGTATGAGCAAAAGGCAATCAACTGATAGCAAGCAATCTCTGAAAGGAAGCTATATGAAAGCGAAAGTCAATTTTTGATCTCTTTTCTCTGACACTTTGAGTTAATCCTGTTTCAAAATGACACCGAGGAGTATTTGTAGGAACACGAAATGAAAGTTTTCTGCTTTATATAACTTAAGTGACGTAAAGAAAGAAGTCCCTGACTTGTCGTATCACGTCACGTCAAAGAGATAACGATGCCAGGTCACTTATAAAGGGTAGGTGGCGCTATGCGAAAAATAATCCAAGACTTTATGTCGTGTTAAAGGAAGGAAATTACTTATATGATTGATAGAAAGTGGAAAACAGGGGCAAACAGATTCGCAGCCACGTTTACATATGTAAAGAAATAGATAGGAAGAGTAACATGAACACGCACATTATATATATATATATATATATATATATAATATTAGTGGAAAATATACATACATATGAAAAATATATCTAAAAAATTCCCATACATGTATATTTTCAGAAAAAAATTTTTCCAAGAGGAAGGATCCAGGTAGAACTCAATGTCTAGGACAGAGTAAGGATATAATAAAAAGGCTTAAACACTAATATTCAATGATCATAATTTATTCCATTGGAATCGTAAATATGATCCAATTCATCAGACCTACAAATTCAAAATGAAAACAGAAAAAACAACTCCGGAAATAAAAATAGAATTTAGAGAGAGTGTAAGTATGAGAGTGTGGGGCGAATATTAGAGCTAAGGAGAGGGGTAACAGACGAGAGAAAGAGGGAGATTAAACCTTAACAGAGAGGAGTTTAGGAGAGGTGAGTGGAAGAGGTTTAAATGAGAGAAATATGAATGTTGTCGGATGTCTAATATATTAAAGATACATTTCATGGTCACATACACACACCATAGACGATATAATGTTAAAGATCAGAATAAGAGGAAGGGAGAGGAAAGGAAAGAAGAAAGGGTGGGGGAGAGAGATTGGGTGGGGGAAACTAAAACTGAAGGGCATTTACTGAAAGGGCCGCTGTGTAATTAAGAAAATTTGACAAAATTAATATCGACTATAGGTTACAAATCAAATATACACATATAAAAAATAAATATAACGATTATCTAATCTTCCTAGGACATGGCACAAAAAAAGAAAGTTAGAATGTTGCGAAAATTTGAAAAAGGAACATAAAAACTTACTCCTTAACTTGCAGAAGAGAAGATTTATGTTTCGTGTGTGGGTGGGGGATGTCTGTTGTCCTCACCTCTGTGTGGGTGGTGGGAGGCAGTAAAATATTATGAATAATCATGTTTTTCTTGGGTTTATTATTAAGGCCTTTCCCATGCGTATTTTCTAAAATGTTATTATATAGACATAAGTTAGATTCATGAAAAATGGATCTGTAGAAAGATGGTGATGTGATGTAATGTTTTAAGCAAGATCGTAATAATGATATAAGTATGTTTTTTTTTTATAATATTTTCTTAAAAGTTTGTTATTTTTAAATTAGGCTGGCTGTGAAGAGAGAGGGGAGGAACTTGTTGAGAGCTGCTCTTTGAAAGAGAGTGGAGGAGAGAGACATACAGAGACAGAGAGAAAGAAAGAAACACATACAAACAGCAAGAAAGATATACACCGACAGCGAGACACATAAGAGCGTGACAGATAGATAGATAGATAGATAGATAGATAGAGAGAGAGAGAGAGAGAGAGAGAGAACGATAATAATAATAAAGAAAAAGATCTCGGAAGAGAAAGATGGTAAAAACGCACATCCAGAGGCAAAGATAGATACACAATAAAAGAAGTACAGATAGATAGATAGATAGATAGATAGATAGATAGATAGATAGATAGATAGATAGATGTAGAGATAGATAGAGAGAGAGAGAGAGAGAGAGAGAGAGTGAGAAGGAGAGAGGGAGAAATAATGTTCATAATCTCAACATACGCGAATTTACAGAATATTGAGAAATAGAAAGACAAAGAGAAACAGGTGCTGACAGCGAGAGATAGAGAAAGAGAGAGAGAGAGAAAGAGAGAGAGAAAGAGAGAGGGAGGAGAGAGAAGGAGAGAGAGAAATAATTCTTATAGTCTCAACATAAGCGACATTAAGAAATAGAAAGACAAAGAGAAACAGGTGCTCAAATCGAGTGTGAGAGAGAGAGAAAGAGAGAGAGAGATTTTGACCACAACAAGCATGCACAATTGCGTACGCACATACACACACACACACACACACACACACACACACACACACACAGAGAAACACTGTCATAGAAGCTCACATAAAATAAATTCTCAAAGACGGGCAGAGAGAGCGAGACACAGAGAGAAAATAGAAAAACCTACATGCAGAGACAAAGATAACGACACAGTAAGGAAAGTGCACAGAGGAGGAGGAGGAGGAGTGAGCGAGAGAGGGTGGAGAGGAAGTGTGAGAGAGAGGGGGAGAGCAAGAGAGAGAAGGAGAGAGAGTGGGAGGGATAATGACAAAAAGAAATAAATACACACGAGAAGAGAGAGATAGACAAATATGGATTGATACTAAAAATCTTACAGCAATGCGTACATGCACAGAAAAAAACTATCATAGCAAAAGGTAGAAAAACACAAAAAAGGTAAGAAATAAGGAGGCATAAGAAAAACAACAACAACAACAACAACAACAATAGATACAGGAAAGCCAAAAGTAAATTGATCATTTCGATCTACAAAAATCAGGTTTCTTTTTCTTCCAATCGATTTGTTTAAACAATCGATGCGGAAAACGGCGCCTGTTCCGATCAGATAGTATCCAAAGATTGTCCCACAGGTTTAAAAAGATGAAATTTGTTCCGATGTCATATAAAGATCTGGATGTATTTCATTTTTATTCCTTTACGATTACATATTTTTCCACATCAAAAAAAGGTAGACTTAGCTCAACGGATAGTGGAAAAGGACATGAAAATTCTATTAAACAGAAAAAAAAGTGTTATTCTTGCAAATATTATGCTTCTCACGTGTACTGTTTTAATGTACATGTTGAATTCGTATTAATAGCAAAACGGCCTCGCATCAATAACACCCGACCAATGTTATTTCGTGCTTTTCTGGTTGCCAACAGTGATTTTATAAGCGGAGCTTCGATGGCCGAAATCATGGGGGAATCAGTGAGGATCGAACTCATTATTCAGTCGCAATTGATCTAGCGAGACAAGCTTAATAACCATTACATCACGTTGAAGTAACCCTATTCTGAAACACAATATTATAAAATTATTGGCAATATATTCACATCCACTCACACAGATACACACATCTATCTATCTACCTATCTATCTATCTATCTATCTATCTATCTATCTATCTATCTATCTATAAAAGTGGACATTGAAGTCAACACTCAGCTGGGACAGTCCGTTTTATGGTTGTACGCAATTTTCAGGGCCGATATATAGACATGAAACGATGGGTGTAGACTTGAATGTCCACTTTATACGCTCTATCCCTGATATTGAGCACTTTAACCCATAAATATAGCCTAACTTAAAACTATATTTTTTCATATATATATATTTTTTTTTTTCATATATATATATATATATATATATATATATATATATATATATATATATATATATACACTACTTGACTCTTCCGTCGAATTCAAGCAGATCAGCTCCCAGGAAACCGACAGTCGACAACAGCATATGAGAAGGTTTCGTGCAGGACCATCCACAGTTTTTGAAGGGCCTAATACAGAGACCTGGTGAAATTCAGAATTGTCCTTCTATTTACCCATAGCTGGAGGGTAATGTATTCGACTGGAATTCGAACTCGGCTCCCCGATTCCTCAATCCAAGCCGCAATCAATTACTCCATCGTGCCTGCCTCTCTGCCCCTCTCTCTCTCTCTCTCTCTCTCTCTATCTTTCTTTGGACCCTCTTTTCTGGGCTGTCGAAGCAGCTGGTTATCAGGTGCCAGTTGTCACTGGATATTTGAGACTCATACCATGGAAGCATTTTATAGACAGTGGGAACTTGTCCTCACTATTCCCCGGCTATAACAATCTTAGGAACATATATAATGTACGAATATAAACATTATATGCCTTACAGGATTTATAAGCTCGAAAGAATTAACCCTTTTTATTTTAAATATATAAAATGTTAAGTAAACAGAAACAGTAGAAAGCAAGATAAATTACGAAATAGTACAAAAATAAACACAAATATCGAAAAGTCTGTTAATTTTAGAAACAGAAACAAAAAATTAAAACATAAATTGGGATTTAAGCCTAAAATACACGGTGATTATGAAGTCAATACTTAAGATACAATAAAATAATTTATACAACCTTTTTCACAGTACTTTGATAAGAACACTAACACCTGAATTATCAATTGATTAAACATAAACGAGAGTAGAAAATACAAAGTTAATGAATATAAATTTAGGTGAGCAAAACAGAAAGTAAAAATAAGACAAAGCATCTTCAGGTTAGTTGTACAAAAAGAAAGAAATACTAATACAGGAAAAACCCAGTAAGTGTGGAAAAAGTTGAAAGAAATAAAAAATAATACATATATGACTTCAAAATAAATATAATAATCATAATATATATAATAAATCTCCCAAAGTTGGCGTCACAAAATATTTCTTGATTTAATATTCATTCAAGAACCAAAAAGACGACTACCTCACTCTTGGTGCACTTTGGTATCTTTTGATAGTTATGTTTTATAATTTTCTTGTATTTAATTTGTTTTTTGTTGTATGTTTTCGTTTCACATTTTTATGCCATCCTATTTCTGAATTTTCTTTTGTTTTTATACCAACATTTTTTTTATTTTATCTTAATACTTGATTTGCACGTGTACACGTGTGTTTCTATGTCTCTCTCTCTCACTCTCTCTCGCTCTCTCTCTCTCTATATATATATATATATATATATCAGTATCTATCTATCTATCTATCTATCTATCTATCTATCTATCTATCCATCTATCTATCTATCCTCATACGTCTGTATAAAGTACTTGCACATTAATTCATTGTTAATTCCCAATATCACACTTTAATGGTAGTAATCCTTGAGTGATAAACTGGCTGGAAAAGTTTGGCTTATAAAAGTGGATATTAGGAATTACACTAAGTTAAAACTTAATAAACTTGCAAATTTAATTTGCTTCATTCAATTGTGTGCCCACGTATATATTATTCCAAGCGCCATTCTTTTGTGGCTGATTTGCTATTCTTGTATCTGGGAAGAACTTGGATTCCTTTGACAGAAGCCGAAATAAAAGTAGGTAGATCGTTAAGAAAACTGACCCTTCACCCACAAACCATTACCACCCATCCCAAGTGAGAAGTATTCGTATGCTTTCAGCCATGGAAATCAGAAAAAACTCACTTCAAAATCGCTGTAATTGAACGAAAGAAACATTAAAAATAAGTCAGCCTGCTCTGTCCGTAAAATGTCCAATTTAAATGTCGGAAAGAAGCAAGTGAAGTCTCTCCTGTAAGACGCTAGAGAGGGTACCATGCTATCTATTACGTCATCTCTCCACCCCGAATATACAGTTAAACCACAATGGTCAAAAAGTTATGTGGGCCACTGTTCGACTCTCCAAATAAATTATCTAAATTACACTCTTTGAAACAACCTAGCTGGAAGTTAAAGCCAGGACTGTCTTTTTATTTTTTTTAAAGTTCTTTCAGAGGTAAATGTTTGCCAGTTGTAATTCTTTCTTGAATTTGAAGTTATAACTTAGTTAGTAACTTCTTCACAAGAGTCACTTCTTCCGGCTGTACCAGAGCGACACATTTGGTTGTAGCAAACATCTTTTTGTCTCTACTCGTAAGGAGTTTATGCGTGTCCTCAAAGAAGTGAATTTATAGTTTGCTGAAAAAATATAACAACGTATAGCATCTCAAAGGTTCAGTTCTTGAGATTAATGGCGGCTCTGCAAGAGTGTGCTGAACAACAGTAAATCCTCAATCTCTCCACTGTTCAATCAAATCGAAGTCTTAATATCTACAGCAGATAAGGTATAATGGTTTGCTCGGAATTATCTTCCAACTCAACACTCGACTCATCTGGAGTACCTACACCTGAGTTCCCCCTGATATGCGCATAACCCTGTCATTGGTCTAGGACATAATTCCTAAATTAGACTCCCATAAGGCAAGTAAAATTGACGGTATATCAGCCGTGGTCCTAAAGAAATGTGCTCCTGAGTTGGTTCTAGTCTCTCCAAACTCTACAACTATTGCCTCGCTGTTTCCTGATTTCCAACTTGTTGGAAGTCTTCCTCTGTATTTCCTGTTTTTAAGAACTCCAGAGAACCTTCTTAACTTTTTAACTATCTCTCTATTAGTCTCCTAAAGCTTATCGGCAAAATATTCGAGGCTTTAATCAATGCTAAAGTGGTTAATTATCATACTTCTCACGACCTACTCTCTAAAAAGTATATCTACATCCGAATTCTAATCACCACCTGCCAGTTATTAAGCATACGCCTTCTTCCATAGAATTTAGAATCAGTTTTAAAATCAGTTATATATAAGTGAAGTTAAATTTCCTGTAATTAATGAGAAAATAAAAGTAAAGAGATCTAGAAAATTGTGAGAAAGCACTGCAACCAGTAAATAAGGTTTTATATGTCCTTTTACTGAACGTTGAACCAGTGTGAGCTTTGTATCCGACTGCTAACATTTGTGCTTGTAACCCTATGGCAATCCATTGTCCAAGTTGCAATGGCGGCCCTCACTGAATCGTAAGAGTTAAGAGTAGACATTTTAGTGACCAACATGCTCTTAGCGAAATCAAATTTAACTCGCAAGAGTTTTTCTCCATTAATCGTAAGAACTTTATTGAGCCATCCACATTTCAGCGATGCAAGAGGACAGTTTACGTATCTCGGCATGGATAATGTATTCCTAAATAAATGTATATTCAACGTTTGAACATTTTCTGTTGCAAAGGTTTCATGTTGGTCAAAATTAGCCTTATAAACTGAACATATATCCAAAGTACATGGACAATTCACATATTGAACAATTGATATCTGCATTATTTAAATAGAAATAAAGGCAGCCTTTAATCCAATTTGGAGTAGGGACTCAGCTTGCATGAAAACCACAAAACAAGAGCATAGCCAATTAGAAACGTAAAAAATAGGAGAGAATCAACAATTTTTATTGCCCTTACTTCAAATTCACGGCTATTGACTGTCGAAAAAAATACACATGAATGGAATTGACTTAAAATATATTATCTGATTTGGGCAAGAAACTTTTATTGCGGCGACAATATTCTGACTTGTGATTCAATGTATATTTTGAATTGTGTAAGTTCAACGATTTAATAACCAAAAAATGGCGGATGAGTTCACACCACACAGTAAGCACGAAAAGAGCAAACGAGAGAGTGAGAGAAAGAGAGAAACACACAAACTTCTAGAAAATTTAATGATGATAGGTACAAATAAGTACATTTGTAATATATATATATATATATATATATAATTAAGACGTGCATATGTGTGTCGAAATGATTATTGGTTTTAATTTGGTTCAAGCCAGTTTTTGAGCACAGGAAACCATAGATTAATGTACGTATACCATATGTAGCGTCACTAATTATTTTGAGGAAATATCTCTTGCATGTCACATGTCCTAACAAAATCGGAGAAAAGAGGGTAAGTATAGGGTAGGCGGTAAGAACAAAAACTGTTATCCCCATAGAGGAGACATAATTATATCAAGTAAAGTCAGTATGTTTAGTTTAAGAAGTAATATCAATAATTTTTAAAATCATTTCATCCCAAGCAAGGCAATAAAGCCACTAAAACATAATGACAAATAATATAAAGAACAATAAAAAAAACAAGAATCAAGAGAAAAATAACGATTAGCGTTACATTTAAATTTTTGAGGATCGAAGTTGACTGGGAAGCAA